CTGACTGACCAGGTAAACCATTTTAACACTAGTTTAGTAAGTTTAGGAGACAAACTAAACCAGTTTAAAACCAGCTTGTGGAGGCTGAGGCTAGCAAGGCTACACAGGCTAGGGTGACCATACGTGCCATTTTCCCAGGACGTGTACTGGCCAGGATTTCTATATTCCCTAAAATATCTAGGTTTTGGCTTTGTTTGCGTGTGCAGACAGATCGGTGTATGACATCAAAGTACCACACAGATGGTTATGCTTTCGAAATGCTCTCGAGGTACTTTGATGTCAAACACTGATCGGTCTGAGCCGCACTGGTTTTAAGTCGAACACACCTAATATGTACGCGTAATTGCATCGCTTTGACCGTAGATCCTTCTCACACGCCATGATTGGTCCATTATGTACTATGCTTGCATGTTATTGGTCAAACTACTTACCTTCAGCAAGCATGAATACAGGAAAACAAAGCCAAAACAAATCCTGGCCAGGACGCATCCTGGGAAAATGGCACGTATGGTCACCCTAACACAGGCTATCTTTCTCATAACTGTGCTAGCAGCTATGTGCTAATGACTGCTATTTGTGGCTTATTTAGATAGGCAGGCTGCAAAACCATCTGATTGACCAGTGGGAATGCTGGAAGACTAAATAGACTATCCTAAACCAGCTTAAAGTAAACAAACTTTCTTTTGTTTTCAGAGCGACGCAAACACAGCCTCTAGTTTCATTTTACCTGCACAAGCTACTGTAACCTGCATGTTGCTAACTGTGTTAGCAACTACGTGCTAATCTCTGCGCTAAGCTGTCTGTTCATTAAGCCCTCATGAAAACTCCTTGATTAAGTTGTATCAGATATATCTTGTGCCACTGACACACAAACCACAAAAGTTTGGATTTCATTTGACCGCCAGATTAGCGCAGATCTCCTCTCCCGCAGTGCGCAGGCAAGCGATTACGCCCTCGCCTTTGTTGTGCTGCAGTCTTATCATCAGTGATCCAACATGATTCCCCCTCACCTTCATTACCCAGATCAGGTCCTTTCTCCTCCTCCAGTGCATTAATTGACAATTAAAGAAACTCGTCGGCTCAACCATAGTGGGTTGTAATAGGGATTTTCCACTAGGCTTAGCAAGCGGCGACTTGTAAATTAATACTTAACGAGTATTAGCAGGGAAGCCCTTGGTAAGGTTTGGAGCATGACTTTGGTCAATGGCAGAGAAATGAAAATCCATATTCCCCAAACGTCTTAATCCGCATTTCTGAATTGCTTAATACACAAAATACAACTGAGTGCTTGAGAGAGGAGGAAAAAAAACACGATGGCATCCGTCTCTTTTCCTATTGAGGATTTGATGTAATGCTCAGTGATTACATAGCCTTTACAAGGTCTTTGCCGGTTCAATGCAGCACAAAATCAGTCATACAATCATCTCACATATGAGAATACAGTTATTTTCAAAGAGCTGGTTTCTGGCTTTCAAGAGGAACTGGCCTCTTCTGTGTGACAAATGATGTGTCAGCCATCTTGAGGATGCTCATCGGGGTGCTATGAGGGTGAAGTACACTGTGAAGTGCACTACAGAGGGAGAGGGCAGGGGGGTCTCACCTCTTTGGCCTGCTTCCCTGCTTGCTGTTGTTGGGTAAGGAGCTGTAGGTGCAACTGCTCCTGTTGCTTCTTGTAGTACTCCTGCAGCTAGACAGAGAGAAAGAGAGAAATGGGTTTTAATGCAATGGATATGTAACACTGCACAGCACACCACAGCAATACATATTACTAATCAAAAATTAAGTTTTGATATATTTATGGTAGGAAATTTACAAAATATCTTCATGGAACATGATCTTTACTTAATATCCTAATGATTTTTGGCATAAAGAAAAATCGATAATTTTGACCCATACAATGTTTTTTTTGGCTATTGCTAAAAATATACCCAAGCGACCCAAGACTGGTTTTGTGGTCCAGGGTCACAAATATATGTAGAAAAAAAGAGCACTTCAATAAAACCTCAATAACATACACTTTCACAATGACCAGATTCATCTGTATTGCAGAATCTAGTATGAAGGTTAAATGTATTGTATCTTTTCTCTCCATTTTCTTTAGTACTCTACATAAACCTGATAAAGGGCGTTTAAACATCAGTGCTTCTTCTATAAAGAGACACCATGGCACAATAAGTTGTCCTGTGATGCTGTTAAACGAGTCACATGATACTGGGCATTCAAGATGAGGTAGTCGGGTGCAAGGAGTCGCATATGTCTAAAGCAGTGGTTCTCAACCCACGGCTCGCGGGCCGCATGCGGCCCGTCACAAATTTTACAATTCATTTTAGTTTTTACATTAATTTAAAAATGTACTAAATAAATATAAGCTATAGCCTAATGTTTTTATGTAAAATCATTTTGTTTTTCATATATTATTTTCAGACATGAGCAGTACTCACATAGCCTAATTAACGTTACGCATTTAAAGTAAAGACCAAGTGGCCAGCGGCAGATAGTGAGCCTATGTTTGATCAATTTAGCCTTCTCAAATCATCACGACTTGACTAAAATAAAATCTATAGATATAAAACAGTTCAAGCATATAACAATGTTTAAACGTTAAACCTAGATAAATGTGCGCTGTATCCAATAGTTTATGCGGAGAGTGGAAGCTAAAGCACGCTTTGCAGGACATAGAGACACCAGCGCGATCACTTGCATTTTTTTTTTCAGTGGATAGCCGTCATTTTTGCTCATAAAGGTAAGAGTAATACATCATTCGTAACTGTAAAGGGTCTACTTTTATTTGTGTGCACTCACAATATCAACAAAACGTTGTGCTTTTATAAAATCAAACATGATTCGCTTCCTGCCGTCTCGTCTTGAACAGGCACGCTTCACAAAAATGAACCGAAACTCAGCGAATACAAGCCTCACAGACATGATAAATATATCTATAGAAAGCTTTAAATTACTACTTAACGAAATAAAACAAATCAAAAACAAAAACTCTTTCATTATAATCATAATCCGTAAAGATGCACTTCTCTCTAAAGGCGCGTCTAATGAAGAGATGGCGAGTCAGGATCAACAACTTCATCCTTGCGACATCGACTCAGAAAACACTAGTTTATTAGTAAATAATTAAAATATCTCCTTACTGTTTCCCCCTGACACATTTATGGTAATTACTTTTGCCGATGCTTTGCGGCAAGCTTAAGCCTATGCTTGCATTTGAACACAGAACTCTTCAGCTGCGCTGACGGCACGCTCCATACATACTGCTGCTGCGGGACACTAAACACCGTTGAGCCGCTCTTGACAGTCACGGTAGCACGGTCTCGTGTTGTTTCCACCAGCGCTGCAATCTTTTTTCATCACTAATTGATGGATGTTCTTTTCAGATTTGTAAACCCATCTGACTGACCAGGTAAACCATTTTAACACTAGTTTAGTAAGTTTAGGAGACAAACTAAACCAGTTTAAAACCAGCTTGTGGAGGCTGAGGCTAGCAAGGCTACACAGGCTAGGGTGACCATACGTGCCATTTTCCCAGGACGTGTACTGGCCAGGATTTCTATATTCCCTAAAATATCTAGGTTTTGGCTTTGTTTGCGTGTGCAGACAGATCGGTGTATGACATCAAAGTACCACACAGATGGTTATGCTTTCGAAACGCTCTCGAGGTACTTTGATGTCAAACACTGATCGGTCTGAGCCGCACTGGTTTTAAGTCGAACACACCTAATATGTACGCGTAATTGCATCGCTTTGACCGTAGATCCTTCTCACACGCCATGATTGGTCCATTATGTACTATGCTTGCATGTTATTGGTCAAACTACTTACCTTCAGCAAGCATGAATACAGGAAAACAAAGCCAAAACAAATCCTGGCCAGGACGCATCCTGGGAAAATGGCACGTATGGTCACCCTAACACAGGCTATCTTTCTCATAACTGTGCTAGCAGCTATGTGCTAATGACTGCTATTTGTGGCTTATTTAGATAGGCAGGCTGCAAAACCATCTGATTGACCAGTGGGAATGCTGGAAGACTAAATAGACTATCCTAAACCAGCTTAAAGTAAACAAACTTTCTTTTGTTTTCAGAGCGACGCAAACACAGCCTCTAGTTTCATTTTACCTGCACAAGCTACTGTAACCTGCATGTTGCTAACTGTGTTAGCAACTACGTGCTAATCTCTGCGCTAAGCTGTCTGTTCATTAAGCCCTCATGAAAACTCCTTGATTAAGTTGTATCAGATATATCTTGTGCCACTGACACACAAACCACAAAAGTTTGGATTTCATTTGACCGCCAGATTAGCGCAGATCTCCTCTCCCGCAGTGCGCAGGCAAGCGATTACGCCCTCGCCTTTGTTGTGCTGCAGTCTTATCATCAGTGATCCAACATGATTCCCCCTCACCTTCATTACCCAGATCAGGTCCTTTCTCCTCCTCCAGTGCATTAATTGACAATTAAAGAAACTCGTCGGCTCAACCATAGTGGGTTGTAATAGGGATTTTCCACTAGGCTTAGCAAGCGGCGACTTGTAAATTAATACTTAACGAGTATTAGCAGGGAAGCCCTTGGTAAGGTTTGGAGCATGACTTTGGTCAATGGCAGAGAAATGAAAATCCATATTCCCCAAACGTCTTAATCCGCATTTCTGAATTGCTTAATACACAAAATACAACTGAGTGCTTGAGAGAGGAGGAAAAAAAACACGATGGCATCCGTCTCTTTTCCTATTGAGGATTTGATGTAATGCTCAGTGATTACATAGCCTTTACAAGGTCTTTGCCGGTTCAATGCAGCACAAAATCAGTCATACAATCATCTCACATATGAGAATACAGTTATTTTCAAAGAGCTGGTTTCTGGCTTTCAAGAGGAACTGGCCTCTTCTGTGTGACAAATGATGTGTCAGCCATCTTGAGGATGCTCATCGGGGTGCTATGAGGGTGAAGTACACTGTGAAGTGCACTACAGAGGGAGAGGGCAGGGGGGTCTCACCTCTTTGGCCTGCTTCCCTGCTTGCTGTTGTTGGGTAAGGAGCTGTAGGTGCAACTGCTCCTGTTGCTTCTTGTAGTACTCCTGCAGCTAGACAGAGAGAAAGAGAGAAATGGGTTTTAATGCAATGGATATGTAACACTGCACAGCACACCACAGCAATACATATTACTAATCAAAAATTAAGTTTTGATATATTTATGGTAGGAAATTTACAAAATATCTTCATGGAACATGATCTTTACTTAATATCCTAATGATTTTTGGCATAAAGAAAAATCGATAATTTTGACCCATACAATGTTTTTTTTGGCTATTGCTAAAAATATACCCAAGCGACCCAAGACTGGTTTTGTGGTCCAGGGTCACAAATATATGTAGAAAAAAAGAGCACTTCAATAAAACCTCAATAACATACACTTTCACAATGACCATTCATCTGTATTGCAGAATCTAGTATGAAGGTTAAATGTATTGTATCTTTTCTCTCCATTTTCTTTAGTACTCTACATAAACCTGATAAAGGGCGTTTAAACATCAGTGCTTCTTCTATAAAGAGACACCATGGCACAATAAGTTGTCCTGTGATGCTGTTAAACGAGTCACATGATACTGGGCATTCAAGATGAGGTAGTCGGGTGCAAGGAGTCGCATATGTCTAAAGCAGTGGTTCTCAACCCGCGGCTCGCGGGCCGCATGCGGCCCGTCACAAATTTTACAATTCATTTTAGTTTTTACATTAATTTAAAAATGTACTAAATAAATATAAGCTATAGCCTAATGTTTTTATGTAAAATCATTTTGTTTTTCATATATTATTTTCAGACATGAGCAGTACTCACATAGCCTAATTAACGTTACGCATTTAAAGTAAAGACCAAGTGGCCAGCGGCAGATAGTGAGCCTATGTTTGATCAATTTAGCCTTCTCAAATCATCACGACTTGACTAAAATAAAATCTATAGATATAAAACAGTTCAAGCATATAACAATGTTTAAACGTTAAACCTAGATAAATGTGCGCTGTATCCAATAGTTTATGCGGAGAGTGGAAGCTAAAGCACGCTTTGCAGGACATAGAGACACCAGCGCGATCACTTGCATTTTTTTTTTTCAGTGGATAGCCGTCATTTTTGCTCATAAAGGTAAGAGTAATACATCATTCGTAACTGTAAAGGGTCTACTTTTATTTGTGTGCACTCACAATATCAACAAAACGTTGTGCTTTTATAAAATCAAACATGATTCGCTTCCTGCCGTCTCGTCTTGAACAGGCACGCTTCACAAAAATGAACCGAAACTCAGCGAATACAAGCCTCACAGACATGATAAATATATCTATAGAAAGCTTTAAATTACTACTTAACGAAATAAAACAAATCAAAAACAAAAACTCTTTCATTATAATCATAATCCGTAAAGATGCACTTCTCTCTAAAGGCGCGTCTAATGAAGAGATGGCGAGTCAGGATCAACAACTTCATCCTTGCGACATCGACTCAGAAAACACTAGTTTATTAGTAAATAATTAAAATATCTCCTTACTGTTTCCCCCTGACACATTTATGGTAATTACTTTTGCCGATGCTTTGCGGCAAGCTTAAGCCTATGCTTGCATTTGAACACAGAACTCTTCAGCTGCGCTGACGGCACGCTCCATACATACTGCTGCTGCGGGACACTAAACACCGTCGAGCCGCTCTTGACAGTCACGGTAACACGGTCTCGTGTTGTTTCCACCAGCGCTGCAATCTTTTTTCATCACTAATTGATGGATGTCTAAAATATAAAAATAAGGGAGAAGCCTAAAACATTCCAGAGGCCCTGTCCGCGTCTGAACTATGACGTGAAAATTGTCCCGAAGCCCGGCCCGAGGGGCGTAAAAAAGTCGGGGCCCATCGGGCCCGGGCTGAAATGCAGGGCTCTAGCTCTGATCTAGCACACAGAAAACGATTTGACTGAAAATGTATCAGAAGAGATGAAAGAAAGATAGTGGTCATCTGCGCAATTCGGAAAAAGAGGCGGCTTTTCTGCATTAGGTATGTTTTGCTTTTTTTCTTTCTTTTTTTTACTCTTTGTACAGCAGTTATTGTTCATTCTAAATTATTTTTTAAATGTAGAATATGTGTTACATAAATACATGAAATGTAGAACATATAAAAAAGTGCTCGGGGCTCGTCTGCCAGTGGGTGCCCCCCCACGCATAAAAGTGAAACTCCGCCTATGATTGTGCTGTTACTCCTTTCGTTCACAACTTCACAAAATTGGGTGTTATTTATGGGGAGTAGAATTATTTATTATTTATTTATTTCAATGAATGTAATTGATTAGATATCATAATATTTAGGCTATAATATTATAAATCAGGTTGGTTTGTATTGCTGATGTAATATGTAAATGATATGCGTGCGGCCTGCGAGACTTGCACTTGGACCATAGTGCGGCCCGGTGGAAAAAAAGATTGAGAACCACTGGTCTTAAAGGCATCAAAAAAATTAAAACAGGATAAAACAAGATCAGCTTCTTGCTTAAGGGCTAAAGTGCCTCCATAATAAGGCATATTCATCTTTTTTCAGCATTCCTCTAAAAGGCAGCTTAAACACCTGGCAGGTGGCGTATGAATGTGTCCTATAAATCATCTGTCCACCCTTCTATTGGCGTGGCAAACCTGACAGCGTGAAGACAGGCTTCCTTATTTATGATCGACTGAACTAAAACACACAACACCTGTCTGGGAAAAGGCGCTGGTAAAATTTGCCCTTTGCTTCTAATCTCAGAGCAGTTTTCTTTACCTGCCGAATAACAGTTACGATTAGAACACAGGTGGTAGAAACCAGCCAGAGATCAGCACAAAAAGCCAATTTATGCCTTAAGCATCTGAGAGATCTGAAACACAGACACCTGCCTGATTCCTACACGGATGCTCCTGGCACTATCCTTCAATTATGTGCAGTACGGTTTATTATATACAAAATCATGCCATTGTCAAATGGAAAAGCACCTTTTGTGTGTTTTTCTTGTTCTGTTTGCTTGCGTGAGGGGTTTGTGTTAAGTTAATAAAGCACAAGAAAGGTGTTTACACACTGGTTACTGATTCAAAGCTCAGCTGAATGGGTCTCTGTGTCCTCTACACAAGTAAACATAGACTGTATGTGCTTTATCACTGTGAAACACCTCGCAATGGCACACCTTGCTCTGATTAAAAGCTTTGGGAACAGACTGAAGCATGTGAGAGTCATTGATTTTAAGTGTGCATAGTAGGGTTAGGGGTACGCTTCATTCTTCAGAACAATGAAGGTTATTAGACAAAAACAAGAAACAGGTGTGCGAGGGCAGAAGAGCAGAGATGGGATAAATCATTTACAATTATCAATGACCAATTCTGTGCAAATCTTAAGATTTGTTTTCATTCGTTGCTAAGACAAACATTACTATTACTTTTTACTTCCCAGGGTTTGTTAAAGAAGGGTCCATTTAAAATATAAAATCACTAAAATCAATCAAAATACCTTAGTGACCACATATTGATGTGAATATGAGAAGAAATTAATTTCTTCAGAAGATGCAAAAATTTGTATTAGGAACTCAAATAAGCAGTAAACTTTTAACACGCCTTTGATGCTCACTTGAAAACCTGGAAATAACGTTCAAAAATGTTCACTAGAACAAGAAGTAAACCGTATATACATGAGGTTTTCACCTCCAAAGATTTAAAATAATACACTCACCCTTTCCTACATTTGAAAGAGAAAAAATATTACACGAGAATGGCTTCCTGTTATGCTTTACTTTCACCTATTTGAACTAGCTGCTACTTTCAACTAGCTACTCTTTTACTGAGTCCTAAGTGGGACTGGCTCGCACCCACTAACACTGTCATTACACATCTCCAACCGTAGCTCTGGCTAACCGCAGCGGCCACCGCAGACCCACCGCTGTTTGTTTTACTTTCAGATTATTAATTTACCCAGGAAAGCCTATTAAGATTAAAATCTCAGCTTTGCATGGATGACCTATGTGACATGGAAGTGCATGTTGACCGAAGAAGCAGAGCACGGAGGCCCTCGGACACGCAGAGGCTGCGGAGGAGCACCTGGGGGAACGCTGGCTGCAGCTGCTGGAGAAAAGTAGAATAATGATACCCTCATTAACTCCTTATCACACATACTGTTTACAGATGTAATGCGGGCTTACTTAAGGAATGAGGTACTTAACAGTGGGCTACGTACCAATTTACAACACTGTATAACTTTAAAAAGAGAGCGCTGACACAAAATACTTTCAGTGTACTTTTAATATGACGAGACATGAAAATGTCTTTTTATAGCGATAACGCATGCAGATTTTTCAACCTCAAATTCATTACAAAAAGGCTAACTGGAATATTTGTTCTTTCAATAAATTAATGTCACCATGCAAGACATTTTAAAACTTATTACAATTAATTTCTTAAAATTTTTAACATACTATTCTAAAATGTTTAACCTAAAATGTTGACCAAAAACTCAAATTATGCATCTCTGGGGTCATATGAAATGCATACGACTTTTATGGAGATGCCGGAAAGGAAAAAAATAAAATAAATAAAAAAGCAGGAAACCCTGTAAATGCATTCAAGTAAATGCATGATGTTTTTTTTCATTTATTTTTTTTCCATGTTCTTTCGAGTCATTTTTGATTATTGAAAAGTTGTTTTTATTTGTTTTTAATTAGACAGATTCATTAATGAATCATTCATATTGCTCATTAAAACGAACTGATTCAAAAGAACAATTCACTCATAATTCAAAGATTTCTCTACACAAGTGCAAGAACAGATTGCATATTTTAGAGCAGACTAGAAAAAAAATGTATACTACATAAAGAACCATTTCCATGACTTTTCTATTAATTTTAATGAAATAAAATAAAATTAATTTTTATTTTTTCCTTATTCAAACTTCAATGATGTTTCCAGGTTTTCCACTACTGTGGAAACCCTGCACTTCATACCAAAACCAACAGCCCAGATGTTCATCTGACAGAATTACTTTGCAAAAGACAGAAAGCTTTCATTTGATTGGCTGTCTGTCCTCAGAAAACTTCTCTCGGCCTGACCTGAGTGTACACAACTCTAGTCTTAAACGAGCCTTGAACTCACTCATCTCCTGCTGTTTTAACCAGACGAGCGGTTCTACCAAGCAACACTAAAAGTCTGCATTCCCTCTACAAAAGCCATCTCACACCACTGCGTCCATTTGGCTACCTGTCGTCATGCTGCTTTACAGGATATTGAAGGTGAGCTATCTTGTGCCTCCGACACTGAGCCAAGGCCCTTTCGAACAGAGGAAGTCAGCGAGCCGTAAGGTGTGAAGCGAGACTCCATTTACCACACTAAAGGCATTTGGCTGGCAATATGTCGCCCGTCTCTCGGTTTAAACTCTCCTCCACGCCTCGCTGCCGCCTGCCTGGCCTCGTTGCCTCTCGCCCACTCATTACCCCTTTAATTCATACCAATATGAAGCTGAATAGTTGCGGGAATAATTAAAGAATAATTAAGGGTTTTTTAATGATTTGATTCAGTGGGCCCCTTTCACGTTAACTGCGTGCCTTGAAAGGCATTCACCTTAGATTCCCATTATTGTGACCTTGGTTTTACTTAACAGTACAGAGAGGGGATAAAAAAGGAAAAATATATCAGCAGGACTGTAATTAAGGGTTGGAGGGATGTAAAGGTTAACTCACACATGCATAAGTGCACACGTACACATAAAAATGCACTTGCTCTCGCTTTCCTGCGCTTGCGGTCTTTGTATGTAAAATCATATTTGTAAGGGTATTCACATGCAGAAAAAGCCAAAGCCCACTCATTCTCCCACACGCGCTGGGATGAGATCAGGGACGGATTGCTGTACGTGTGTACAGGCTCTCTGATTGCTCCATTTGCCGTGCACGAAAGAGTGAGCATTAAAAGCCACTTCTCACGTGGTTCATCACCACTGCAAACCATTAAACCCACTGGCTTTTACTGGAGATGTAAAACGGCCCATGAACGGTGACTATTTCAATTTCAATATCCTCGTTAAAAATAGAATAAAAAAGAGAGAGAGAAATAAAGCGGGAGGAGGGGGACAAAGTGCTAAGTTTCTTTCTCAAACAGCTGAATTTTGATTTCTGCGAGCGAGCGACTCTTGATAAATTTGTCAGATCAGCTTGCCGCAATTTATACTCGCCTAAAGCAACCTCCTCCTCCTTACTACTAAATCAATTCTGCTCTCTGTCAAGATCATTTATGCAACAGAAAACCTTTTTACATCTTTTGGCTTTGAAAAATAATCATATGTTCTTAATTAGGGAGGTTTCAGAGACCTGATTTCTGTGTGAAAAGGTCGAGGGTGCGCAGAGTTTTGGGACGATGTTAAATATTTGAGAGACGCAAGAGAAATGGGGTTGTTTGTTTCTTCATGTCTGCTCAGGGGCCGCACCTCTGGCCTCCAGGCGAGATAGCAGAGGCCGCGCAACTAATAAACAAAGAGAGAGAGAGAGAGAGAGACTGGAAGAGATATGGAAAAGTCTGGCTCAGCAGCTGGGTGAGAAACATTGCCCTCGCTCTAACATAAGCGCTCCCTGACCGCCGGCGAGTCGACGTGTAGCGACACCAGCCAAAGGAGGCGTCGCAAACACTAGTATGCTAGTAAATGCTGCTTATAAACGCCAGAGCCAAGTAACATCAAAGCCGGGGAAGATATCATTCCGGGCATGCCTGTGAGGATGCAATCAAAGTTACACAAAACGCGATTACATTACACACTCTGACATCTACACTCAGGGCCTATTAACGGGGATCACACGTGAATGTGCATTTACTGTGCCATCCGACGGCACTCTATAAAAATGCTGGCAACAGCTGTTGGAATGAAGGACGTCAGTCGGAGATTTCCGTCAATTTGGCAGGATTCTTCTATAAAACATGTACGGCTTGAGCAGTTAGAAGTCCGGACAGGAGGGAAGAAGTTTTCTTAAGGAAGTATGGAACAAAGCGTTTGTGTTTTTTATGTCTGAGTGCATGTATATTTGACAAGGTTTTGAATTCTTGTTTGTTTAGTTTGCACCCCCCTTGGCGCCAACTTAATATTTTTCAGTTAACATTAAGTTTTGTATGGAAGCCAATTTCTTCCTCAGTATAAAAAAATTAAAATTAAAATAAAAAAGGTAGTTGTGACACTTTTCCTCATAGTGTCAACGATTTCTCATAAATGTGAATTTATAGATTACCATTCAAAGGTTTGAGGTCAGTAAGAGTGTTTTAATCAAAAGTGACAGCAAAACAAGTAATAATGTTGTTACACAAAATTATATTTCAAATAAATGCTGGTTTTGAACATTCTATTCATCAAAGAATCCTGAAAAATGTATCACAGTTTCCTCAAAATTATATTAATCATTAATTTTCCTTAAAAATATGTTCATATATTACCATTGATTAAAAAAAAAATGAATGCATTTTCTTAAGCACCAAATCAGCAAATTAGGGTGATTTGTGAAGGATCACGTGACATTGTGACAAAAATCAGCTTTATCATCACAGGAATATATGGAATTTTAAAATATATTAAAATGAAAAGTTAGTTTTTAAAATTATAATAATATTGTAGAATAGTATGTTTTACTGTATCTGTAATGAAATTAATTCAGCCAGGGTAAGATATTTTAAACTATATGATAATTACCTGCCGAAACAGGCTTTCCTAGTTTTCTGTACTCCAAATTAACAAATAAACAAATTTGGTTAGCCTTAAATAATGAATTAATTAAAATTAACCAAATAAATGTCCAATATCATGAAACTCCATGAAAGCTATCATATCATACACACACTTTTGCTAGAAAATGACGACATATGGACCCACAGCACAGCACAGGTTTTAAAGAACATGATGTAGCGAATAGCGTTCAGTAATATTTTGATTAGCCAATAAAACGTGTACCAATTGGCTTGGAAAAATTTACCTTTTGTATGGTTTGTGTGGGCATGTCATGTTTGAACAGCCCAGACATTCTCGAATATAGTTCTGTGTGTGTCGGTGTGTGTGTTACCTGTTGCAGCATAAGGGCTTGTTGCTGTTGGAGTAAAGCTTGGAGCTGAGGTGGAGAGAGGATCTGCTGCATCTGCTGAGGAGTTATCATCTGTGGGGTCATCATCGCCATGGATACCGGCACCTAATAAGAGAAGACAGACCAATAAGTGACCACATGCATGGTTGTGTGTGTATTTGATTATCACACTCTGTTACAATGGGTCTGTACTCAACTGGTGGGTCGTGACACTAAAATGTGTCACTGGTCTGCTCAACAGAATGATGCTAAATGCAAATTATTAACATGCATGTGATAAATAAACCGGCTTATCGACTGTTAAGATGCACAATCTGGGCCCAAAAACAAAATCTCTGTACTAAATGACACCGTTACAGAGAGATAAGCACATATCCCTCACTTGAACGTGATACAAAGCCATTTCTGTTTCTCTAGCATCATAAAGGAATGTTGTACTTCACTTTAATTAACTCTTTATCCTGTCATGCCAAAGAGAGTACACATAACATCAGCTCTGTTGACACAATAGAGCTCCACACTGCTTGCATTGTAAAACCCTGGCAGTTTTTCCAAAAGAGAGCGAGAAAGCGTGTTGATCAAATCTTCCCTTGAGTATGTAGTCTTTATCAGCCTGAAAGTACTTCAATAAACATAATATTATGATTCGTTATCTAGAGAATCACATCTTTGGCAAAAATAACAAACAGTCTGATAAGATAGCTATCGGCAGGAAACAACTTGCAACAGTCTGGAATTGAGAGCGCAATTTGCTAGACAAGAACGAGGCGTAAAGATGGAAGGCGTGATTCTTATCTTATGACAAATACGCAGAAAAGGAGAGAAATGGAAAGAGAGCCAGGCTCAAAAATAAGGATTTCTCTCTGCAAGTCCAGTCAGATGTTCACTTGCCCTACCAACATTTTCAATGGCCCCACTCAGAAAACCCCATATTATTTTTAGCAAAATGTTTCATATTCATATTTATATTTTTCACTTAGCATGACGTTTTCAGTGGAAGCCCATTAAAAGAAATTAAAACAGTCCTTTTTTTCTCATAATAGCAACTTTTAAATGGCAACTTTATTTCTTGTATTTCTCACAGTTGCCTGTTTTTTTTCATGTGGAACAATTTTTTAACCATAATGTTAACAAAAAAGAAATTACATTTTTATATATATATATTTCATTTTGAATTCAGAAGTTATGAATTCACACAAACACCTTTAGTGAAAAATTATGGCATAAGTTGCAAAAAATTACTGATTTGTTTGACGCTTCCATGACTATTAATTAACTGTTAAAAAAAAAAGAAAAGAAAGAAAGAAACTTCAAACTTGATTTAAATCTGCTGAATTCATCAAATTCATAACAAAAATGTTTAAGACATCACACAAAACCAATTATTTAAGTTAAGTTTCAAAGGCATAAAAACACATGCAAACATGATCAACATATGCCGTGCTGGCCCAGTATGGCTAGTGGCAGCCCATCAACTGTCCAGGAATTAATATCGGTCATGGTTGTCCTTACTGTGTGTGTGTGTGTGTGTGTGAGAGAGAGATGTTTTGAAAAAGCCTGAAGGCAGGCCTCCAGTACCATTACATCCTTTAATGCAGTAGGACCGGCCACTCTGTGAACTTATGGGCAGCTTTTTAACGGGCCAGCAATTTCCACCAGTACAATTTGCGGCTGCTTCCTCGAATGCAACTAGCGATCTTCCACTGACACACACACACACACACACACACACACACACAGCCGCTCTGTGGCGTTCCATTTATTTTCCTATTTACTGCTCAAGGGCCAGAACTGATCATCTCCCTGCAACTGCTCAATAAAAATAAAGCTATTTACAGGCAATGGCTGGCTTGAAGCTGACATATGAGTGCAAACTACAATACCGCATAATACATACATTTATCTACATTTTCCACTCAAAGGGAATCAAAAAGACAGGCATCGCCGTGACGGCTTCCCAGTCCACTGCCAGTCCGATCTGATATTTGCATTCATTTGTTTTCATGTAGCGCCTGAGCGCTCATATTTTCAGCAGTTTATCTATTCGGAGCTCGAGGGCTCGTGAGGAGGGGTGGAGGAAGGGGGGCGAGATAAGGAGGGGAAAGACGAAGAGAGAGAGCTGTCAGAAGCAAATTAAATCTGTAAAGGGCTGATTTGACTTTGTAAACAAGATTGGCGGTAAATACGAACACTGGCTCTTTTTCCCGCCGGAAAGAGGGATGAAAGCTGGCGCTCGCGAGCGGTTATCGCAGACTGTCCGATACTTTATTGTAAACGTCCCTATCACATCAAACGAGCCATCCGTATCCTTCACTATGAAGAAGGGGGAACTCTTACCAGAATCCATGACAGAGACAAAGAGGCAAAATTATGCACTCTTTTAGCCTCTATGACTTATGCGCCACAAGACAGATGCATTTTATGGGCTGGCGTGCCACTCACCTTGATTAATTATAGGCGTGACGCAGGTGAGGCTATGTTAGACTAGCGCTTACAGCTAAAGCTAACAAGCACGGACACATTTCAGCTGATGAGATCATGCATCTGATGCCATCGAGGGCGAGCGTTAGAGCATTTCGGCCCTCTGCCAAATGTCAGGTACTTGCGTTTGATGACTTATATCAAGAGTTAAAACACATCAAGGGCCCTACAATTACAGCTTGGAAAGAGAATATGTGCATCCAGGGAGGAAGAGGCGTCTGAAATAAAGTCAGGGCGCCATCCGAGGCGAGAGCCTGCAGCAGGCCAGCCGCATATGCACGCGTATGTATGTGTGTGTTGTTTGTGTGCCCAATGGGGGAGACAAAACGTGAGATAGGACAAAAGGGGGGGCTCGGCATGGCGAGCACTTGGCGTCATGCCAATTTGCCACGCGCGGTTGCTTGTCACTGGGAAAGAGCGAAATGAAAACCTGTAATTAATTGCTCCTCTGCATCCCATTCTCCCGCGGTGACAACCCATACATTCTATTTTATACACACACGTTCATTGACATTTTCAAGTTGCAGGCGTAATAATTACCAGAGTTATAACACCTTCTATTGCGGTGCGACAGTGGGATTGACGAGCCGCCTGAATGCTGAGTTGTTAAGGTTTGACGCCATTAATTGCCCCTATAATCTAATATCACAAAGGCGGGCCATTACACACCATGAGCGGAGCGTGCAATTCGACACTACGGTTTCAGAGCAGTGCAGGAAAACAAAAGCGCGCCATTAGGGACTTGACGGCCGCTAACAAAAGCGCAGCACAGTGCGGAATTATATTTTCATTCGGCTTTGTCTCTCGCCTATAAATGATTCCCCCCGTTCATTTGCCGCTGAATAGACCCAGTAATAGAGGAGCCCGAAACCCAACCATTTGAAGTCAGGCATTTATTAAATGCATTTAATTTTTTCCTTCAATGTTTTTTCACTTTCTCTCTTTAAATTAACATGCAACGGGAAAGAAAGGCAAGGGAGATATTTTGCTCGATGAGCAGAAGCACAGTGGCGAGCACCTTGCTGTGAATTATCAGGACTGAACACTCATTTACTATATTTTAAAAACAGAGACAAAAAGCATTCTGTCTGCATGTGATGAGAGTGAATAACGAGAGATTTGTTGTGGTGTGTTGCCAATAAAGGGCTAGAGATCATGTTCAGACCATAGGAAGAGAGCTTGGCCTATAGTGGAGCTGCCATAAAGGCTTAGAAACATATAGATGCATTATTTAGGAACTAAATGAATGTAATTTAGAAAAAAACAAATTCAATTTAATATAAAATATTTTTAAAAAATTACTTAAATTTAAAAAATCTAAATATATTTATAAAATATTTACAATATATAGTGCTGTCAAATGATTAATCGCATCCAAAATAAGTTTTGTTTACATAATATATGTGTGTGCTGTGTATATTTATTATGTATATATAAATACACACACTTGCATGTATATATTTAAGAAAAAATATGTTTATAGATTAAATATATTTATATATAATATAAATTATGTATATATATATATATATACACAAATAGAAATGTATACATGTAAATATTTTAAAATATATACTGTATGTGTGTGTATTTAATAAATATACACAATACATACAGATGTAAACAAAATCGTGATTAATCGTTTGACAGCACTAAAAATACATTTATAAAAATGTACAGTAGATAGAAAAAAATCTGCAAGCAATATACACACACTTTTTTCCATGTCTATAATTAATCAAATGGCATTTATAGTTCAGGTAACTGGCTCAAAAAACAAAAAAAAAGTAAAGATGAGCAAAGCTGGCATGGAGATTGCATCCTTAAAGAGTCCTACTCCGGCTGAGCAATTGCCACTGATATGAACAGAAAGGCTAACTTACAGCTTGTTTTGCTATAAAAGAATATAATAACAGGGCTTATGCTATAATATGACAGGTGAACCTTCAAGCCTCCACCAATCAGTGGCACGTATGTCAAGGGTCATCCGCAGAGGGTAGCTCAGGTAGGGGGTAAAACACACAAAAACACAATTGAGTTTGTAAGTGGCATGGCGTCTGAACACAACTGTCTGTGAGAGAGTGCATAATATATAGTGTGCATTTGATGACCATCCCCTAAAACCATCTCCACAAGCTTCTGAGACTGTCTGCTAATAAGTCAGTTTCAGTGGCACCTCTGGTGCCTCACACCACCATTAAGATTCACCAGTGCTGTCCGCATGCACCACGTAGAGCTACCCACTACTGACAGGGGTCAGCTTCAATACAGAGAGAGAGAGCAGCGGGGGAGATGGTCGTTCGCAGGGAGCGGAGCAGTAATTAGAGGGGCTATTTGAAGAGCAAGTTTAACTGATTAACAAAGAGAAGAGATGGGAAATGAGGGAGAGAGAGAGAGAGAGAGAAGAGGGAAGCCGAGCTGCAAGAAGAGCGATGCGTCCCAGGGGGTCATAAAGGAAGTAGTAAGGACAGAGAATGCATTCCAATGAGCCTTAATCTGACTTTTCCTTTTTTTCCGAGCTTGATAAATTACAATCAGTCTTATCAACCACCTTTCGCTCTTTAAAACACAGACACAAGGATGATGATGTGAATCTCTCATGACCCTACAGACAGACCCACGGC